ATCCCATCATCTTTCCCCTTTGTCTGCGGCCGTCCCGCCTCCTCTCTCCTGATTGGTCCAAACTCAGAAGCGAGCGGAGGGCGCCCATTGGCCCTCCCGAGGCGCAGGAACGTTCTGATTGGCTGAAAGCTGAGGCGGGCCGCCAAGTCTCCTCCCAGCTGTTCCAGCCTCAGCCAATCAGCGTCAAGCCGGCCGGCAAGGGGCGGCGGGAGTCTCAAACTGCTTTCTTTTGTCCTGTACTGTATAAAAATGCCTGAAATCTTTGATCTGGATGCTTGCAGTGGAATGATTCCTGTAATGCATCTGATCTCAGCTGAATCACAATAAACCTCGGTTGCTGGAAAGAAACTTCTTCCACTTGGATGAGGCATTATTATTTATAATATTTCTACTCTTTGGATTGGCTCTCGCTGGCCTCACCAAGGGACCCAGAGCCCTTTAGGCGCGGTCCTCGGGTTTCTCTTTCTCAAGGAGACCCTGCTAAAAGCAGCTCGATATCAGTGGCCAATTGAAACATTCACACTTAGCTCCAACAGACAAGAGTTCTTTCTCCCACCCTGGACATTTCACAGATATATAAACCCAATTTTTCTAGTTTGCAACAGACCTCACAACCTCTGAGGATGCCTGCCATAGATGCAGGCGAAACGTCAGGAGAGAATGTTTCTGGTAAAGGTTTAATATTAGTTTCTGATAAATTGAATCCCCACTTTCTCCTAAAACAACATAGTAGTTTCTTGAGAGGAAACAATTGCTGGTGCTGTGGACGAGAAGCAAAGGAAATGAAACTCTCTAAGTGCCTGCATTTGGTTAAAAATGCCCCAGGGTATTTTTGGAAAAGGCCCTCATTCCATCAGCAGGGAGAGAGGGATACAGACTTTGCATACTCTGGAAACTATTTCCAAAGTGTACAAACTCCTTATCAGTGTGGCTCCAGCGAAGGAAATGTTGGCAGCAATTCTACATTGTGCTCATAGAGCAGTTAAACAAATGAATACAAAGAAAGGGGGTGAGGAAACAAGGACGAAGAGGGCAGGAGAAATACATAGGCTAGGAACATGAGTTGGGTGTATACATTAGTACAAACTGACCATAGTTCCAAAAATATATTTGCTAGGTCTGTATAAAAAGGCTTGTTTTGTGCATTCATAGAGCATTCTTCATTCCTGAATATTTCTCTTTTAATAGCTGGCATTCATGTTTCTGGCTAAATAATAGTTGAGAGAGAAAGGAGTGCAGGCAAAAATTTTGCCTGTGGCAAGGCGCATTTACATTACAGAATTATACTGTTATTATTCCACTCAACTGTTAGGAGTCCGTCCTATCAAATCCTTGGATTTGCATTTTAGAGAAATCTATTAAGGTAAAGGTAAAGATTCCCCCTACATTAAGTCCAGGCATGTCCGACTCTTGGTGGTGGTGCTCATCTCCATTTCTAAACCGAAGACTTGGCGTTGTCCGTAGACACCTCCAAGATCATGTGGCCAGCATGACTACAAGGAGCACCATTCCCTGCAGAAGCAGTACCTATTGATCTACTCACATTTGCATGTTTTCAAACTGCTAGGTTGGCAGAAGCTGGGTGTAACAGCCGGAGCTCATGATGCTCCCCGGATTCGAACCGCCTACCTTTCGGTCAGCAAATTCAGCAGATCAGCGGTTTAACCTGCTGCGCCACCAGGAGGCCCTAGAAATCTGATAGTGATCTAATACCCCACCAATCTACAATCCTTAGGATGCACCAATGGCAGCTAAAATGGAATAACAACACTATAATCTTGTAGTGTGAATGGGCCCTATATGTTTCCCTCCAAGTCCTTTCATTGTCATTGTCACACTACACAGTTATAGCTGATGATTCCACTTTCACTGCCATGGCTGCATCCTGGTGAATCCTGGGGTTTGCAGATTGCAACACTCAGAATTCCATAGGATGCAGTCATGGCACTAAAATCGAACTCATAGCACTATAATTGTATAGAGCATGACCCTACTCCAAATATCTGCACCATGGGTACTCATGGATTCACTTACCCACGTGTGAAAAAAATATGTTTTCTCTGGGTGTATATTTATGGCATGCTTCTGACCAGAAGTAGATCATTCCAACCATTCGCTATTATCAGTGGTTTTGCATCGTCATGGTGGAAGAAGCCTCTGGGAGCACAGTGGGTTAAACCCTTGTGCCGGCATGACTGTTGACGGACAGGTCAGGGGTTCGAATCCAGGGAGAGCAGGTTGAGCTCCCTCTGTCAGCTCCAGCTCCCCATGCGGGGACATGAGAGAAGCCTCCCACAAGGATGGTAAAACATCAAAAATATCTTGGAGTCCCCTGGGTAATGTTCTTGCAGACAGCCAATTCTCTCACACCAGAAGCGACTTGCAGTTTCTCAAGTTGCTCCTGACATGAAAAAAAAATCAATTTTTTCATTTTTCATCATTTCATGGATTTTCCACCCACAGGATGATAAAATTCCTGGGCATCCCCCGGGTAACATCTGCTGACTGAAAGGTCAGTGGTTGGTTCAGATTTGGAGAGCAGGATGAGCTTCCTCTGTCAGCTCAAGCTTCTCATGCGAGGACATGAGAGAAGCCACCCACAGGATGGTAAAACATCAGTGCCTCTCCTGGGCAACGTCCTTGCAGACAGCTAATTCTCTCACACCAGAAGCAACTTGCAGTTTCTCAAGTTGTTCCTGACATGGAAAAAAATGGATTATGACCTGTTAGGGTAGCAAAATTTGGGAAGCGTTCCTTTCATTTATTGCGGAGTTTCTCAACCTTCCTAATGCAGAGACCTCTTAATACAGTTCCTCATGTTGTGCTGATCCTCAACCATAAGATTATTTTTGTTGCTACTCCATAATTCCCCTGGGCAATGTCCTTGCAGATTGCCAATTCTCTCACACCAGAAGCAACTTGCAGTTTCTCAAGTTGCTCCTGACACAGAAAAAAAATCCCCAAGGTAAGTTTTGGATTATGTCGCTGCTACTCCACAATTCCCCTGGGCAATGTCCTTGCAGATGGCCAATTCTCTCACACCAGAAGCGACTTGCAGTTTCTCAAGTTGCTCTGACACGAAAAAAAAAATCCCCAAGGTAAGTTTTGGATTATGTCGTTTTTACTCCATAATTCCCCTGGGCAATGTCCTTGCAGATGGCCAATTCTCTCACACCAGAAGCGACTTGCAGTTTCTCAAGTTGCTCTGACACGAAAAAAAAAATCCCCAAGGTAAGTTTTGGATTATGTCGTTTTTACTCCATAATTCCCCTGGGCAATGTCCTTGCAGATGGCCAATTCTCTCACACCAGAAGCGACTTGCAGTTTCTCAAGTTGCTCTGACACAAAAAAAAAAAATCCCCAAGGTAAGTTTTGGATTATGTCGTTTTTACTCCATAATTCCCCTGACAACGTCCTTGCAGATGGCCAATTATCTCACACCAGAAGCGACTTGCAGTTTCTCAAGTTGCTATGACATGGAAAAAAAAAAACCCCAAGGTAAGTTTTGGATTATGTCACTGCTACTGCATAATTCCTCTGTGCAATGTCCTTGCAGACGACCAATTCTCTCACACCAGAAGCGACTTGCAGTTTCTCAAGTTGCTCCTGACACGAAAAAAAAATCCCAAGGTAAGTTTTGGATGATGTCTCCTTCAAATATGGGATGTACTATAGTGCGAAAGGAGCCCACAGTGGCACATTCTCTTTAATCCTGGTTGACTTCAGAATTACGCCTGGGAAACTGTACCAACCAATAAGCAGTTGGCTTGCACAAGTTAGGATGGAGGGGGGCAGAGAAGAAGTTGCAGAAAAAGGTACTGAATACCTTCTTCTAAAACCTTCCAAAAATTATATATGTGGGCTGAGCGCCCAAGTGCAGAATGCCAAGGCAGCTTTGGTTTAATATGGTAAATATGAGACAGAGGGAGGGATGTGGGGAGGGAAGCAGCTCAGTTGGACGAAAGGCCCACATTAAGGCACAAGCCTGAAATGGAGCTCAATTTGTGCTGCCAAATTTTGACTGGGAATGAAGGGCTTTATCAAATGTTTCCATTGCTCCCCTACTTATTCTGTTTTCTCCCCATGCGACTGCATGATTTAGGATAAAATCGGGTTCAACGTGCCTCTCTTTCCCCTGCTTTTCAGCCACTGCCCTGCAGAAGAGGCATGTTCATCTCATTCAGGTTAAGTGCTTTTCTGAACTGCCTTAGAAGCCAGCATGGCAGCTAGTTTCTTGTATTGTCAAAGGCTTTCATGGCCGGAATCACTGGGTTGTAGTAGGTTTTTTCGGGCTATATGGCCATGTTCTAGAGGCATTCTCTCCTGACGTTTCGCCTACATCGATGGCAAGCATCTTCAGAGGTAGTGAGGCCTGTTGGAACTAGGAAAAAGGGTTTATATATCTGTGGAATGACCAGGGTGGGACAAAGGACTCTTGTCTGTTGGAGCTAGGTGTGAATGTTTCAAGTGACCACCTTGGTTAGCATTTGATGGCCTGACAGTGCCTGGGGCAATCTTTTGTTGAGAGGTGATTAGATATCCCTGATTGTTTCCCCTCTGTTGTTTAGCTGTTGTAATTTTAGAGGTTTTTTTTTTTAATACTGGTAGCCAGATTTTGTTCATTTTCATGGTTTCCTCCTTTCTGTTGAAATTGTCCACCTGCTTGTGGATTTCAATGGCTTCTCTGTGTAGTCTGACATGGTGGTTGTGAGAGTGGTCCAGCATTTCTCTGTTCTCGAATAATATGCTGTGTCCAGGTTGGTTCATCAGGTGCTCTGCTATGGCTGATTTCTCTGGTTGAAGTAGCCTGCAGTGCCTTTCATGTATTTGAGAACACAGAAATGTTGGACCACTCTGACAAACACCATGTCAGACTACACAGAGAAGCCATTGAAATCCACAAGCAGGTGGACAATTTCAACAGAAAGGAGGAAACCATGAAAATGAACAAAATCTGGCTACCAGTATTAAAATTACAACAGCAAAACAACAGAGAGGAAACAATCTGGGACATCTAATCACCTCTCAACAAAAGATTGCCCCAGGCATTTCCAGGCCATCAAATGCTAATCAAGGTGGTCAGTTGAAACATTCACACCTAGCTCCAACAGATAAGAGTCCTTTGTCCCACCTTGGTCATTCCACAGATATATAAACCCATTTTCCTAGTTCCAACAGACCTCACTACCTCTGAGGATGCTTGCCATCGATGCAGGCGAAACGTCAGGAGAGAATGCCTCTAGAACATGGCCACATAGCCCGAAACAACCTACAACAACCCAGCTAGTTTCTTCCTTCGTGTGGCAGTTCTGGGTTCTCCCACACGAGCAGAGGAGGAGATCCAAGGAATTGCCAACACGCCCCTCCTTTCTAAGAAACCCTCCCTTTCCCTCCCCCATCCCCCACTCTATACAAGTAATAAATATTTGGCCGGCCATTGCAGCAGCTCGGCTCAGGCACGACTGCGAGAGGCAGGGGTGCAGCGAGGAGGCTGGCCGGTGGGCACCGTGCCGGCGGGGCACAAACAGCGGTAGGAGCCGTCCATGTTGAGGCAGCGACCGCCGGGGCAGAGCCCTTCCATCTCACTGCATTCATCAACATCTGCGGGAAAAGGAAGGGAGAAGAGTCAAAGAAGTCAGGACTCAAGGGTGGTAGAGCATTCTGGGGTTAATATTTGAGTCAGGCAAAATAAGGTCAGTCCAACTTCAGTGTGGAATGAGACAAGTAAAAAGTCACAGGTCCGAGATTCTCTTGAATCTTACATGGTTCAATTTAGGACAGCAGTTCTGGATATGGTACTAAGCTACAGTTGGCCATGCCCTATCTCCTGGGCTTAGCACAGAACTGCCACAGTCCATTGGCATTCTATTAGGGGCATAGGAACGTGTAAGTGCCTCTTATGCACGTAGATTCCTTCTCTGTATCTATTTATTTATTTATTTATTTATTTATCCATTTACAATATTTATATTCCGCCCTTCTCACCCTGCAGGGGAGGGCTGAGGATCTACCCTAGCAAACCTTTTGTATCGTTATCCCAATAGCCCCATGCATATGGGATATATTGAGCATGGTGATCATATCATGATATGAATAAACATAACAGTTTAAATAATGTACCAGTAAGGCCTTCTCACGGACCACCCTGAGAATTTCGGGGGGGGGGGGCTGAAGCCCCCGCCCCCCTCCCCGGCTACATGCCCATCTCTGGAAGGTGAACTACAACTCCAAACTCAAGGTCAGTATGCCCACCAAACCCTTCCAGTATTTTCTGTAGTCATGGGAGTTCTGTGTACTAAGTTTGGTTCAATTCCATTGTTGGTGGCATTCAGAATGCTCTTTGATTTTAGGTGAACTATAAATCCCAGCAACTACAACTCCCAAATGATAAAACCAATCCCCCCAACCAATATTCAAATTTGGGTGTATCAAGTATTTGTGCCAAATTTGGTCAGTGAATGAAAATACATCCTGTATATCAGATATTTACATTACAATTAATAACAGTAGCAAAATTACAGTTATGAAGTAGCAATGAAAATAATGTTATGGTTGGGGGTCACCACATGAGGAACTGTATTAAAGAGTCATGGCATTCAGAAGGTTGAGAACTACTTCTCCAGCTACATCCCCTTAGCCAGCAAAATGATGATATCAGCACTGATATCTGCTGGAGGTTCTCCAGGGGTCTCTGTGCTGTAGTGACCACTCTGTATCTGGCTGTGGGGAGGCAGTCAGATGCAGGTCTGGTCCTACCTGCTTTCCGTGGTTCTCACCTGTGCAGATCATTCGAGTTGGGTCCAAACGGTAGCCCTCATAACAGTCACAGGTGAAGCCATCTGCTACGCGAACACAGTGGCCATTTTCGCAGCCACTCAGGATGCCACACTCCTCAGATTGAAGGCCTCCAAAGCTTTCAAAGGGACCTGGTGGAGACAGGTGAGGAAGTGATGACCAGAAGGAAGCAGCTTCCGCCATTAACCCAGCTGGTCACACCAAGGTAAGTTTCACTACGAAAGCCTCCAATTTACCCAAGCCACATGCTTGGCTTAGGCTTCCACCAGGACTGGACACCTTCTCCTTAACATTATTTGGATCTATCTCTAGCACAGAGTTGGGCAACCCCCAGATTTTGGGAGGCCATTTTCTTCACCAAGACCCCAGTTTGAGTAAATGGGTGAACCAGCTCAGTGACATCACTACAAAGGGCTAAAGGGCAGCCCCTTGTGGTCTTCCTGGAAAAAAATACAAAACTAAACATGGTGGGCAGACTTAGGATCTTATCACATTGGGATATAATCACTTTATATCAATATGCATCCCATTTTTTTAGGACTGGATGCATACTATTAAAACAGCTTCATTGGTTGCCAAGGCAAATTCAAGGTGCAGGTAATAATCTATAAAGCCCTAAACGGTTTGGGCCCTGTCTATCTTTGCGATCACATTTCCATCTATGAACCGGCACAAACTCTAAGAATCTCCAGGAAGGCCCTCCTCTCGCTCCCACCTCTGTCACAAGCATGGTTGGTGGGGACGAGAGTGAGGGCCTTCTCGGTGGTGGCCCCCCACCTCTGGAACGCCCTTCCAAGAGAAATAAGACAGGCCCCATCCGTCCCCTCTTTTCGTAAGAGTTTGAAGACTTGATAGTTTCAACAAATCTTTGAGAGTGACCAGTGCTAGCCCAACTTAGACACTGTCCGAACATGACCTAGCCCTCCTATATATTAAACTGGTCACTCTCCTAACAGGCCCCTGGAAATAGCCCATCCCCACTTTTGTCATTTACCTATTACAGTACTGTACCCAAATGTCGGTCCCATCTTATTTCAATTTGTATCAGTCTTGACCCAGCCTTTTTAATTGTCCTGACCCATTCCTTTTCCACGCCCTAACAAATAGACATAAAGAGCAGGCCGGATTTTTTCTTTTAATATTGATGTGTTGTTGGGTAATTGCATGCTTATGTTGCTGTTACTGTTATTTTTTGTTCATGTTGTGACTCTGTATGTTTTGATGTTGTTGCTTGGAAACCGCCCTGAGTCCTCCCGGTGAGAGCAGTATATAAATAAATTGTTGTTGTTGTTGTTGTTGTTGTTGTTGAGATGCATACTCTCCTCATCACATCTGATTTTTATCAGTCTTATGATTTGAAAATACTGTGCTTTGACTCATCACACCACAGAAGGCTGGCTCTTCCCGATCCATTCAAAACACCCCTTACATCACTCTATGACCTTCTAAAAAGTATCATTGCTGATGGGATATATACAGATTTTCCTTATTTATTTACTGTATTTGTATAATTCCCAGATGTCCTCAGAAGCACTTTAACTATTCATTGGATTGTGCTCCCTTCACTTCTTTTAAAACCCTCCTACCAGATTACATTTGGCCCGGCCATAGGTTTTTAAATCTTTGTATGTTATTGTTTACTAGCTGTCCCCTGCCACACATTGCTGTGGCCAACATGGAGGTACTGTTTGGGAGGTTTGGCCCAATTCTATCGCTGGTGGGGTTCAGAATGCTCTGTGATTGTAGGTGAACTATAAATCCCAGCAACTACAACTCCCAAATGTCAAGATTCTATTTTCCCCAAACTCCACCAGTGTTCACATTTGGGCATATTGAGTACTCGTGCAAAGTTTGGTCCAGATCCATCATTGTTTGAGTCCACAGTGATCTCTGGATGCAGGTGAACTACAACTCCAAAACCAAAGGACACTGCCCACCAAACCCTTCTAGTATTTTCTGTTGGTCATGGGAGAACTGTGTGCCAAGTTTGGTTCAATTCCATCGTTGGTGAGGTCCAGAATGTTCTTTGATTGTAGGTGAACTATAAATCCCAGCAACTACAACTCCCAAATGACAAAATCAGTTTTTTTGGGTGAAGGACATATATTGGGTTGTTAGATGTCTTGTGTCCAAATTTGGTGTCAATTCCCCCAGTGGTTTTTGAGTTCTGTGAATACCACAAACGAACATTACATTTTTATTTATATAGATATGTGATTTATATTAATTTGTATTGTTTTTTGTTTACTGCTTTTTTGTTTTAATGATGTGTTGTCGGGCTTGGCCTCATGTAAGCCGCTCCGAGTCCCTTGGGGAGACGGTGGCGGGGTATAAATAAAGTATTATTATTATTATTATTATTATTATTATTATATCGCCCTTCTCAGCCAATCGACGACTCAAGGCTGTTTTTTCACACACAAAAACAGTGTTTCAGCAACGAAAGACTCAGTAGTATTTCAAAAAACACAATTAGAATTCTACTTGCAAATAATCAGTTTCTGTGATGTTCTGCAGACAGATTCTGACGGAATACCGACAGGACAGGGCGAACGTCATGTGATGGGACCCGTTTGAAATCATTCTCAAACAGTCTCAGAAACGGAGTATTTCCTAATGTGATGAAGTCCTTAGAATTATACGATCCAAACACTAATGCACTGTTTATGTAGAATCTCATCCGGACTCACCATAGTCTTCACTGGCACGGCCTGGACGTTCAGGATAGGAACCCCCACCGCTACGTGGTGGATAGTACAATTCTGCCTCAGGGGGGCTGCGGGGCCGGTATCCCCCCCGAGTGTGCTCTGGTGGTTCCTCTCGATGCCGACTGCCATAAGGAAGGTCTTCGAAGTCTGTGGCCTCGTAGGGCGAGGGGCCATAGAGAGAGTCTCGGGGGAAAGGGTCATAATCAGGAAGTCGAGGAGGAGGGCGAGGTGGAGGGGCGAAGATCTCGGGGCCGTAGGGCAAGAAGTCGCCACCGCCATACTCGAAGGGAAGCCCCAGGCCTCCTGGAGGCACGGGCCCATAGCTAGGGGGCCGGAGGACATTGCATAGGGCTTCAAAGTCATCTGTGAAAGGAAAAGCGAAAATGTGGATCAAGTCAAAGGGAAATAGGTAGATTCTTGTTCTAGAACTGGGTGTAGTTCTAGACATAATAATAATAATAATAATAATAATAATAATAATAATAATAATAATCCTTTATTTATACCCCACTACCATCTCCCGCAGGACTCGGTGTGGCTCACAAGAGGCCGAGCCCAAAATACATCAGAACAAAAACACAGCCAKAACAATACAATACGACAATAAATAACTCATAGCAAAGCAAAAACAATAACAAAATATCACGACGCAYTTTAAAAACCTGGCAAGGGCAAATGTAATGATTTTTTTWWAAAAAAATGCTGGGCATGTCCAGGTGAAGAAGGATGGATATTTTGGGGGTAAGTGGGTGTGCAGACAATTCTAACTCTCTCGTAAAGTGCATTTGGGACATATTGCTTGGGATTCCTTAATCTGGGAAGGCACACTGGAACATCTATGTTTTCAAGCTCCTTCTGAAGACATGCCTGATGTCCTTGGGGAGGGAGTTCCGGAGTCGTGGGGCCACCACCGAGAAGGCCCTGRCCCTCGTTCCCACCAATCGCACTTGCGATGCATAAAAATTGGCCCCAAAAGTTCRTTTGGGGCCAAATGATAACACATTGCATAAGCTTTAGTAGTGGGTGTGACGAATTTCCCTATGTTAYAAGARCAGGGTTAGCTCAGAAATAGGCTCAATAGCTGGCATCCATTTTGTATGGAAGCTGGAGGCAGCCATTTTAGGTTAGAGACATTTCTCTTCCCTTCCTTAATTCAGAGCCGCGTTATGCAACTAGTGTATTGTTGGGTCCCAGCTATCATACTTTTGCCCAAATTCATTCCAACATTGTTGGATATTTGGGGCACCTGGGCTGGAATGCATCCTCTTAGCTCAAGACCAATAGAAAGTGGGCTACCAAAAATTATATATTGCTGAAGCACACAAAGCCAATAAAATGCACAGTTTAACACACCTTCCTTCTCTATAGCTATAAGAAATTTCCAAGCAGGTTAGCACCAGAAAAAACATCACTCATCAGTCATATACGTTCCCAGACTTCATATACGTTCATATACGTTCCCTTCATATACGTTCCCAGACTTACACTGCAAAGCCAATGCAAAAGAAGTATTTAACGAAGTCACTAATACAAATTACTGTATATACTCGAGTATAAGCCGACCTAGATATAAGCTGAGGCACCTAATTTTACCCCAAAAAACTTGAAAAATGTATTGACTCAAGTATAAGCTGAGGGCGAGAAATGCAGCTGCTACTGGTAATCATCAGTAGGTTAAATGTTTTTGAGTATTTACATAAAACTGCAATTTAAGATAAGACTGATTAAACCATTATTCTAACTTTCTTCAGTGTAAATGTGCTTACGTACCCTTCCAATAATAATAATAATAAAAAGGGTAAAATAATAAATGTAACAAAAATAATAGAGTTAATAATGGAAATTTAATAATAATAGAGTAAAATAATAAATGTAATAAAACCAATAATAAATAGATTAAAATAATAAATGTAATAATAATAATAAAAAGAGTAAAATAAAAATGTAATAAAAATAATAGAACAGTAAAATAATGTAAATGTAATAATAATAATAATAATAATAATAATAATAAATAATAATGCAAAATGATAAATGTAATAAAAATAATAGGGTTAATAATAACAGTAATAATAGAGTAAAATAATAAATCTAATAAAACCATAAATAGATTAAAAATAAATGTAATAATAATAAAAAGAGTAAAATAATACATGTAATAAAATAATATAAAAATAAAATAATGTAAATGTAATAATAATAATAATAATAATAATAATAATAATAAATAGTGTAAAATAATAAATGTAAAAAAAATACTAATAACAGAGTAATACAATAAATAACCTTGACTCGGGTGTAAGCCGAGGGGAACTTTTTCAGCCTAAAAAAATAGGCTGAAAAACTAAGCTTATACTTGAGTATATACAGTAATTCTTTCATGCCATTAGATGGTGGTTCAAATTTGCTCTCCCAAAGACATCTGTCTTGTGGCAGTGGCTGAGTTCACTTACTAAAAGCACCAATTGCCACCTGCATTTAGTATTCTGGAAGGATCTTTCAGGCTTAGGTATGGGCTCTTCCTCCTACCTTATCCAAAGCACAAAGCCTAGCTGGTACTAATTGCAGGTCTCCTCTACATACCTGAGTCACGAGCAGGACATAGCGCACAATCCATGCTCCAGGCTTCCCCATATAGGCAGCAGCACTCTGTGTAGGTGACCTGGCGTTCCAGGTGAGGTCGGCTGCACACCAGGTCAGGCCCCACTTCCTGCCAGCACACAGCCAGGTTGTCATCTGGGAAGAGGCAGAAAGCAGCAGGATGAGAAAAGAACAGAGGAACCCAAGAGGAAATCACTCAGTGTGATCTTTCCCTCTTCCACCCGAGTCATAGAGGATGGATTTCTCTTAGGGACATACTTCTATTTTCTTTGAGTATTCCAGGGACTTGTATTGTCCCCCCCCCCCCCCCCACAGTGCCCAAAGCTCTCTCAACAACTTAATTACAAGTCCATAAATCCATCTCATAGGACCATTCCATAATTCAATAAGTGGGCAGAAAACGAATGATGCTTTGATGTAACTCCATGTTGTTGTGTGCCGTCAAGTTGTTTCATATTCTGGAGACCCTGTCACAAAGTTTTCCTGGGCAAGACTGGTTCTGAGGAAGTTTGCCTTTGCCTTCCTTGGAGGCTGAGAGAGAGTGACGTGCCTAAGATCATCCAGTTGGTTTCCATGTCCAACCAGGGAATCAAATGTTCGCCCATGATTGGTCTACAGAGCCATAGTTCCTGTTGTTCTGTGCCTAAAAATAGCTTCTGGAAGGCCAAAGTTTGCCCATGCCTGGTCTACAGAGCCATAGTTGCTGTAGTTGTGTGCCTTCAAGTAGCTTCTGGAGGGGCAAAATTTGCCCATGCCTGGTCTACAGAGCTATACTTGATTTTGTGTGCCTAAAAGTAGCTTCTGGAGGGACAAAGTTTGCCCATGTCTGGTCTACAGAGCCATAGTTGCTGTTGTGTGCCTTCAAGTAGTTTCTGGAGGGCCAAAGTTTGCCCATGCCTGGCCTACAGAACCATAGTTGATGTTGTTGTGTAACTAAAAATAGCTTCTGGGGAGACAAAGTTTGCCCATGCCTGTTCTACGGACCCATAGTGCTTTTTTTGTTTTTGTTTTTGTTGTGTCAGGAGTGACTGCAAGTAGCTCCTGGTGTGAGAGTTGGCCGTCTGCAAGGACGTTGCCCAGGGGAGGCCTGGATGATTTGATGGTTTTATCATCCTTGTGGGAGGCTTCTCTCATGTCCCCGCATGAGGAGCTGGAGCTGATAGAGGGAGCTCATCCGCCTTTCCCTGGATTCGAACCTGCGACCTGCCGGTCTTCAGTCCTGCCGGCACAGGGGTTTAACCCACTGCACCACCGGGGGCCACCATAGTGCTGGCCTTGACCTATAAAACCCTAAACGGCTCCAGCCCAGCATACCTGTCCAAACGTATCTCCCTCTACGAACTCCCAAGGACCTTAAGATCGTCTGGAGAGGCCCTGCTCTCGGTCCCACAGCTATCACAGTTGCATTTGGTGGGAACAAGAGAGAGGGTCTTCTCGGTGATGGCCCCACGGCTGTGGAACTCCCTCCATAATGAGATCAGATCTGCCCTCCCCCTCATGACCTTCTGGAAGAAGCTCAGACCCTGGTTATGGGACCAAGCATTAGCAGAATAGATGGTTTTAACCGACTGTTTTTAGCTGATGGCAACGGATTGAAGATGGTTTTAATGGACTGTTTGAACTGACGGCAATGGATTGATTTGGAAGACGACGTGAAATGGCGAACTGTTTTAATGTATTTATAATTGTTTTTAATGTAGGTTAAATGTATTTTATGTTTGTTTATTGTTTGGCACCAAATGGCACCTGTTGATAGCTGTCCTGAGTTCCTCTTTGGAGGCGAGAAGGACGGGATCAAAATGATCCTAATAAATAAATAAATAGTTGCTGTTGTTGTGTGCCTTCAAGTAGCTTCTGATTGATGACAACCCTAATGTCAACCTATCACAGGGGTTTCTGAGGCTGAGAGTGAGTGACTTGCCCAAGGTCACACAGTGGGGTTTCCATGGCTGAGTAGGAAATCGAACCCTGATCTCCAGAGTCATAATCCAACTTGCTATGCCACGCTGACTCTCCACCCAGATGCAAAATGATGACGCTGGCATTGAGATTTCCCAAGATCCTCCTGGGATCTCAGCACCGCTCTAAACATTGTAGAATGGAAGAAGAAGAGGAAGAGGAAGGGCAGGTATGGGTTTCTGGTGACTCACCCAAGCTTTGGCTCTCGTTGGTGACACAACGGTGCTGGGAGGCATCAAGAATGAGTGGGGCGGCACAGGAGCAGTAGTAGGACCCAATGGTGTTGATGCAACGCCCTCCTATGCAAGGCTCGGCCTCCTCATCAAGACATTCATCATTATCTGGGGACAAAAAAAAAAAACCTGTCCTTTTTCTCAGGGTCCGAAGCAAAAGGGAGCCAGGTGGGACCAGCAAAGCTAACAGAAGGGGATGTTTACAAAGTCAGGGTCTATTGCCCCCATGCTAATACTCTCCTTCTCATTCTAGATGAGCTTGGTTAGCTGGGCTCCTGTCACCAGGCAGCTGGCTTGAAGAGTCCTTGTTAGCATTTTGGCCAAACATTAACAGCTGTCCAGTGACACAGTGATTTGCATTACCGACCCTGCCAGATATTTCTTACACTCGCTTGGCAGTCAAAGGCTGGGAACGGACCGGGGGAGTGAATTTTCCACTGTTACTAACCTGCTTGCATCATTCTCACAGCTAGTGGGAAGATGGTGAATCACACTTGGGGCACTTCGATTTTCTTTATTTGTTTCCACACTGTCTAAGCCTTGAGACTCTTCCAGAGGCCTTGGACTGGGAAATATTACACCCCAAACCAAGGCTTCCCTATAGCAGTGGTTCTCAACCTTTCTAATGCTGTGACCCCTGAATACAGTTCCTCATGTTGTGGTGACCCCCAACCATAAAATTATTTTCATTGCTCCTTTATAACTGTAATTTTGCTACTGTTACGAATTGTAATGTAAATATCTGATATGCAGGATGTGCTTTCATTGCTACAAATTCAACATAATTAAAGCATTGTGATTAATCAGAAAAAAATATGTTTGGGGGAATATGGAAAACAGATGATGGGATTTGCAGTACCTTCAACCGATTCCGCTCTGACTTCCACAGACCACTGAAACTGTCACAAATTACAAAACTGGAGCAAACCCGGGACACAGAACTCCCATGTCAAATAGAAAATACTGGAGGGGGTTGGGAGGAATTGACAATGATTTAGAGATGTAGTTCACCTACATCCGGAGAGCACTGTGAACCCAAACAATGATGGATCTGGACCTCTGGTGAAGCCAGGTGAGGGAGGCTTCGTGCAAGGCCAGGCCTCGAGCAGAACCCCCATTGCCTGGCTCTCGCCCTCGCCGGTCAGCAAGGTTGCAAGCCAGGCAAGGGTGGCTCCACTCGAGGCCTGGCCTGGCGCAACCCTGCCAGCCGGCAAGCGGGGAGAGCCAGGTGAGGGAGGCTTCGTGCAAGGCCAGGTCTCAAGCGGAGCCCCTCCTTGCCTGGCTGTTGACCTCGCCAACCAGCAGGCAAGGGAGGCTTCACCCAGCCATTTTGAGTAGGTGAAAGGGGGGGGGACAAAGGAGGCGGCCTCGCGACCCCTCCGAATTGACCAAACAACCCCCCTGGGGGTCGCAATCCCTAGGTTGAGAACTGCTGCCCTATAGCCATTATGGTAGGACCCAGGTCTATCATGGGTTGTGAAGAGCTTAGGATGCTACTCTGCTGTGTGCCATCCATCGCATCATTTACAATTAATAAAACCTATGCTATGATAGTGTCCAGCACCAAATGAACTCTTCAGGAGTCAGTAACTACACCCAGTTCCATTACAAAACAGTGAGTCCTAGGGGAGGAAAAAGAAGGGAATCCAAATGACTTACCAATGCACTCTAGGTGTTGCATTTCATAGTAGTAGCCATTGGGGCAATAGCAGGAGTAACCAGGGCTCTTGTTTACGCAGACACCACCTTTGCAAACCTGAGTGTTAAAGAGCGTGCACTCATCTACATCTATGATGGGGGGAAAAAGGAATGGATCAAAAAAGGGAATCTCATGATTTAAATGTGACTATATATTTTAGTTTGGTTTATAAACTGCTTATTTTATGATATTTATATTTATTGTTGATGAGGAGAATGAGGAGGATTTAATTGCATGAACCATAAAATAAAGTGCTTCTAAGGACATTTGCTACAAAGTTTGGTCAGAGAGTATCTTACATTCAATCATTGAAGGCACATTGGAATAACCAGGATTTCAGAAAGAAAGCTTGATTATTATTATTATTATTATTATTATTATTATTATTATTATTATTATTTTACTGACACAAAACCACAGTATGTCACAGCAAATGAGATCTATATGCTGGATTTCATATCACAAAATGTTGTTGTTGTTGTTGTTGTTATTATTATTATTATTATTATTATTATTATTATTATTAGAAGCACAAGATTAGTACACAGCAAACAAGATCACTATGCTTACTGTTGTATTGGATCACATGTTGGACACTTCCCAAATGTCTAGGACTGTGTCATGTATCGGTGAATAATGCGTGCAGATCTGAGTAGGGTGGCCTTCTGCAGCTGACAGATGGTAATTTTGTCAGCACTGATTGTGTTTAAGTGCAGGCCATGGTCTTTAGTTACTGCACCCAGTGTGCTGATCACTACTGGGACCACCTTTACTGGTGTATTATTATTATTATTATTATTATTATTATTATTATTATTATTATTATTATACCTACTGCCACAAGGAAGTCATGCCCGATTCCCTCCCAAGAACAAACCCAAGCTTCATGTTATGTGACTGTGTGCACAACACATACTCACATCATGGCAATTCCTACCTGCAACAGCACTTCCAGCAATGGGGGCAGCATAGCCTTTACCATGAGGGCACAAGGCTTGGAATTCCACTGCGGAGAAAGAAGGTGTTTTTCAGCAGCCAAGATTTATCAGACGTCACACACCTCATCCAGCATTGTCTATATGGCAACCCCAAGTAAGCTCATCCTCCCACAAAATTATTTGGCAAATGATGCTGATAACACCCCTGGTAACTAAATATGACAATTTTGGAAGACTATGTGTGCTACAGTCCCATGCACCATTCAGGCAATCTGGCCAGTGAGAGAGCTGAATCATTCTGGAAGATGAAGATAGTACTTCCTTCTTCATCCATGGGTATCCGGCCTTACCTGTCCCTGGGGAAGGGCACACCTGGATGAGGCAGTCAATACCCCAGCCATGGCCAAGGCTGCAGCAACACTCTTGGCGTGTGGCGTTCCAAGACAAGACATTTTCGCAAGCTTGTGCTGCATCGGGGTCGTAGTAGCACTCGCGGCGAAGGCTGTCACCAGGTGCGGAGGGACGGGACTCAGGCCGCGAAGCTTCGGGGCGCCTGGGTATGGCTGGGGGACGTGCTGGAAGACAAAGTCTCTGAAAATGAGCACTGTGTTGAGGAAACAGCTTTGGAATGGCCCTGGAATGAGTAGTAATTAACTTAATTAGTACTAGAAGCACAACATTCTTGCTGGGCTCCGATACTGAGTTTCCTGACTGTCAGAAAACCTGTTTTCCAATCTGAAATGAATAATTGTAAATATTATCTGTTGGGTTTCATTCCTAGACTGCACAAGAGTCTTGTGTCATCAAGTCTCCAGTCCTCAATGAGTAGCAAGACTAGAGATAGGATTAAGCTGAGGGATTCCATTCCCCACTTTACCATGCAAGTTTCCCAAAAGGGCTTTGTCAGCCACTGTCTCCTCCCCGCTGTGAGGGAACTTTAGGTTCAAAAATATTTATTGAAGTAAAAGAAATACATTCTGGATAGAAAAGGGTCTTGCTTACTCTCATCTTCTAAGAAAGGTAAAAGGGCAAAAAGTAAAAAAAAAAATCCATGCAGCTACATTTTGCCTTAAGAGGGAGGCAAAATGTGCATCTTCAGTGGAAGGAAAGAAAGGCAGAAGAGACAATGGAGGCAAATGGCCACATGGCTGGCCCAGGGCAATAAAAATACCTTTTTTTTTTTTAAAAAAGGAAGTCTCTTGTGTCATCAAGTCTCCAGTCCTCAATGGTTTCCAATCCCAACTTTACCATGCAAGTTTCCCAAAAGGGCTTTGTCAGCCACTATCTCCTCCCCCTGTGAGGGAACTTCCTTTTTTTAAAAAGGTGTTTTTATTGCCCTGGGCTGGCCATGTGGCCATTTGCCTCCATTGTCTCTTCTGCCTTTCTTCCTTCCTTCCACTGAGGATGCACATTTTGCCTCTCTCTTAAGGCAAAATGTAGCTGCATGGATTTTTTGACTTTTTATTTTTTTATCTGTCTTAGAAGATGAGACTTAGTAAGCTAGTTAGCTCCAAGACCTTTTTTTATCTAGAATGTATTTCTTTGACTTCAATAAATATTTTTGAACCTAAAGTTCTGACTCTGCAATCCTGTGCCTTCCTAATTTATTTATTTATTTATGACATTTATATGCTGCCCTTCTCATC